CTACTGTAGATTGTGAAAAGCAGTTCCAAAGACACTGTGCAACTAAAACCCGAGTTACAGACCTTTGCAAGACGTAATAAATTGCACTAACAGAGCACAGGAGGAATCTTTCTTTTATTATTAACTCCTCTGAGTTCTCAAGAACTGCTGAAGCTCTTTGGAAGCTTACGAAATTAACATTTAAGGTTGTCTTAAATGTAATTCACAAATAGCACCTTCACTGCTTGGTTTCAACACCTTAGGTTTAACACTGAGGAAGCCTGTACAGTATTTTTGTCTTTAAGTCAGCTCTAAGGAAGTTATTATTTAAAAAATAATTTCTTACTTTACAGTTGAACAGTGACTGGAGAAGTTTCCTTTTCAGATGAAGTAAAAAATGAGGGATCTATAATAATATACGGGAAACCAAGAGGCTCCTGAGTAAGTATATAATTTTTCTTTCATATATTTCGAAGATAACGCCAAGCAGGACACACTCAAAAATACAGACCTCCAAAATATCATGAAGCAAAAAAAGGGTGTTTAAAAAAAAAAAAAAAAAAAAAAAAAAGACAAAGTCCCATCCTCCCTCCCCACCCCCCAACCCCTCTGAATTCCTCGCAGGCCACCTTTGGCAGTCGCCGGGGTTGATACCTCTCCCTTCCACTCGCATACTAGGAAGAGGGGCAAGGGAGACAAACTGATCTGCATTTCTAAGTGCAAATAAAAATAAATCCTTTAAACTACTGCACATAAAGTGCCAAATACCATATTAAAACAAAATAAAATGATCTTTCAGTTGAGCTGGGTAACATAGATACAAAGTTGTTGGTTGAACTGCTAAGCGTGTAAAGAACTTTGTCACAGTTTTATGAGATTCAAGTTGCATATTTATGAACAAAGGGGGTTTTCTACAGAAAGCAGCATTTTTTTAAGTGTTTCCATATACACCGCCTCTAAATATGCTAACGAGCACAATTTAACACTGAACAGAGAACAAAAATTGTGCATTTTCTTCTCCGAAAATATTAGCTTGCGCATTTTAAAGAAAAAAATCATTTCGGTGGCGATTTTTAATGGTAAGTTTTAATACTTATAGCCACTCTTGTGACATGTCCTATGACAGATTAAGTAACAGACAAGATCCCGTATTAGACACCTATTACAGATCTTATCTTAAGCACAAAAAGTTGATAGATCTTAGCACGCGCCGCATCTTACAGGACAAGTTACTCTGGAAACAGTTCTGTACAAAACGCTACAGCTAATGAAGAACCTGAGCGATAACTTCGCTTCTACATCTGAAATCATGGTCAAAATCCAGGTGTTCAGCGGGCGGCTCCACCACCCCACGCAAGAGGGACACAGGCCCAGGTGCTCTGTTCAAGCTTAGAAGTCAAATGCGGAGGCAACAGATTTCTGGTTCTACTTATGCCTGCGAAAGCCCACCTCCCACAAAAGCCAGGCAGATCCAGGAGGCAGAGGCTTCTCTGCCTTTCGTCGTTGGTGATTAAATAGGCGATGGTAAGATTACACGTTTCAAGTATGCAGTTCAGATCCCTTTATCGTAAGCAGGAAAAAAGTAAGTCTTAAAAAAAAAAAAATGTAGCACCCTAACCGAGCTCTTCTCGAGAAAATGCACGCTATGGTAAAATCCCCTTTTTCTGAAGGGCTCCAATCCCCAACCCCCTCTTCCCAAGGAAACATCATTAATCTGTAGGCAATTTCAGATACCCTTCTTGCTCCAACGGCTTAGGCCGTCCATCAGGAAGCGAGGCTGCATGCTTAGCTGTTAAGGTACCAAGTATATATAGATTATACAAGCTATTAATTTCTTTTCTAGAGTGTCTTAACATAAACAATTGCTCAGACTGAGCCGAGAGCAGTTGGCCACCAAACTGAACAGAAACAAGAAGCGTGCGTGGGGGGAGGTTAAGCATTTAAGATATGTAACCATCTGTAGCATTTGCCTAGGACTGCCGATACGCACTTGTAATAACAAGCCAGATTGCAAGACGAAATCTCTTTTAAAATACAGATACAGAAATACAGATATATTAAAATACTGCATCTGTAGCAGGGTATGAGGTCAGTGCCCTTGCCCTCCGTGTCAGAAATCTAAGGGAATGCAGGGGAGGAGTTGAAGAAACAAAGAAAGAACTCATGCAGAAGTAAGCGCAGGGGATGAGATTGCTGCTCTGAACTCCAAATCCCCAGCTCTGGAGCCGAGATGACGTCTTAGAAAGTTCCAGCCGAAAGAGGTCCTTGGTCGAGCAAGCTAGAATTGCATTTTATGTATTTTACCTGAAGCTTTCTGTAGCCGCGCAGCCGACTGAAGCCTCGCTACGTACTTTTGTTTCATCACTGGTGTTGGAATGAAAGACGGAACCTACAAGGATGCTTTTTCTCCCTAGGGCACGACGGCTGTACGGCTGGCGAACCACGCTGGAGCGGAACCTGCATCCAAAGGCAGGCTGGGGGAGGCACTTCTTAGGTTGCTATGGTCTATCCCGGTGCTGTCTTCTAGAAGAAATTACAACATTAGAACAAGGCTCCCGCGGGACCTGGATATTTAAGGGTCAGACGACAATCCCAAGCAAAGCCCAGCATTTCGCAGTATTTGTTTTAGAGGTTAACACACAGAGGCCTAATATAAATGTTTTATTTAAAGTAAAAAGTGTGCACAAATAAAGGGAATGATTACACAACAATGTTCAAGACCATATTCCATATGAAACACGAAAATAGTAGTGACAATATCAACTAGCAGAGCACCCATAAGAATCCAACTCGTATACAAAAAGGAGGTTACTCCACATAAATACATCATGCTTCTGATGCAGACACTTTCTCCAAAAGACAAAGCCTACTGCACTGGACTGTTTACACCCAAGGTCCTTTCTGAATATTTATGACAGTTGCTATATGCTTAACAATGAAAAATAACTGTTAATATCATGGCACTTTGGAGAAAACTGAAGTTGAAAAATGGATTTACAGTTATTTAAGGTGTTTGTCACTTAGCAACATTCTGAACGGTTAGATAAGTAAGTAGAAAAAGTATCTTTTCTGTGACTTTATTAAAAAAAAATCAACTTTTGCTTTAAGCACAAAAGACAGCGTTTTACTCCATTACTCTTCTGTGATGAATAGCAGAAATGCCCTTCCTTACATAAAGCCGTTTTACTTAATACCCCATATGAAATTAAGCCACTGCAGAGACAAGGCTTTTCTTGTTTGCTTTAAATAACTTCCAAGTTTAATATCGGTTAAGTCCTGATGTCTAACCTAGTCACGCAGGTGTAGAAGTCAGAGGCTAAACAATGAATCACAGTTTTAAAACTGCACGTAAGCAGCTCACTTGACATGAAGTAAACATGCTGCAGTTACCAGCTGCTCTTTAAAAGAAGGTTTACTCCGGTATTTTACATTTGAAAATACACAACTTGAATTTAAGGGAACCTGATTCTTAACAGTGCGGAGGTTCAATGCTTCCCTGAAACCGAGGCTCCTCTGATCACTTCCCAGTTTTGAAAACTCAGCCCAATACTTAGAAGTTTCCTATTCACATTCCAAAGAAAAACATGAACTGAATACCACACCATGCCACTGCTGAGTATTTGTGCAATCTCCCTCCTTGAAGCTAACATGTAAGTGAAAAAACACACACCGGAAGAGCTGTGCTACGGATTTACAGCGTCGCCATAGAAGGATTTTCAAGGAGAGACACCGACCAAGCAGAAAGTCTTATTAAAAGCTTCAGATGAGGTTTGCTAACTTGTGCTTACAGATACTTAGATCTGCTTTTGGTAACGCTTAGCCTGCCTTACAGCTCTTACTTACATAACACAGTCTTTTCTTCAATGTCTCTTAATCCCTTTTCCCCAAAATAAAAAAAAAGTACATTTGGCATTTCTTCAGCCTATGACATTCAAAACTATTCCTTAAACATTAAAAATAAGAATTATCTGTGCTGTATATTACACTATTCACTAACATGAAATGTAAGAATCACACCTCCCAAAAGTCCTAGTTTGAACCGTTCTTTCAATTTATTCCAATTGCTTTACTATTAACTTTGAGCCTACTACCAACATTTAAGGTTTGATTGTGATTACAAATCACCCTCCCTAAGTGCAGAAGTTAAGGGAGTCATTGTGGACAGCACCTATTTTTTTCCAGGTGTGCTTTTTCCACTGGCGAAGCGGAATGCATTTCCAACAGTATGGCAGTAAAATTAAAACCAAGAGAACAAATGCCCTTATCTAGGCCATGCTGTAACTGTATCAGAACTGCACACGTTAAGACAGAAAGTGTAAAAGCAATAAATAACAGTATGAGGTTCTACATCTGTCAACATTAGCTGCCCATTACTGCTAAATTACACTCTACAGATTTTAACTTTTTAAAGTATTAATTGAATCCCATTTATTTAAACTGACACTTTATACCACGTACAACCCTCACAGAAAGGGACAGGCTCAGAAAGGCACTCTCTGTGTACCAGCGTACAATTCCTAGTGTATAATGGCAGAGCAAAGTCTATTGATTCTAATATTGAGTTAATCACCTCCTTTAGGATAGGATCAATACACTCTGTGAAAGCAGCCATCCTTGACCTATTCCGTTTAAAAATCTGCTCTCCTGCTGTCACTTCAAGCTGAAGGGCGATAACATAGCTCTAACTTCTAAGTCTAGGAGAACGGGGAAATCAGATGTTCAGAGAGGAGAGATTTAGAACTACAGAAGTCGTAGGGTCTTACTTGTCTCGCTGGAAAAATGGAAGTCCTTTAGTGATATTTTATTACTGCCCCTAATGCAATTTGTGTTCTTAAAGCAATAAGAAAACTTTCCTTTATCAGAACGCTGTATTGGCCGGTTATAGAGCCAGACCCCAGGCAGGAGCCCCAGAGCCCAACTTCTACATTAAAATTCAAGTTTGGCAAGACTGTTGGAAAGTTTAACATTTCAAATCTGGCAGCCGAAGGTTCAGCGTAACAACTGTCCTGGACGACAATTAATACAAAAAGAAAATTAGTGAGTAATTCACGCTCGGTGGCAAGGGTAAGATGTTCAGTTACTCATTTTATGCAAGTGCATCCAAATGAAGAGATGTTTATCCATGCAGAAGCAAACAGAGTAACAATTGGCACAGCCCACAAACGGAGAATTCAGACACATTCCTCAGCTGACATCAAAAGAGGATTTATATATTCAAAGCCTTCGAATTCAGACTGGTCAATCTTCTTCACAATATCACTATTAAGATTAAAAAAAAACAGTCATTAGTTCAGCAAAATTAAAAAGGTAACAATATTAACTGATAGTTTGTCTGAAAACTTAGACCTGCACAGCGGATTGCAATTGAGAACACTTCCCCTCTCTCTTTAGTCCCTCTCTATCCTTACAGTTACCACTGCTTTTTTTTCTAGTGCCTATAATGGTAGCAGACCACAAACCCACCCAGGAGCAGCGACTGGGCTGCTCCCATGCACATATTCTCCCCATAAAGCAATCTGCAAGGTTTGCAGTTTTAAAACTTTCCCAGAACAGTCAGGTTTGTAAAAAACTGAAAACATTAGGATGCGATAGATACTGCACCTGCATCAGCAACTTTTCTATACTTTATTTGCACATTATGCATTTACAAAGGGGTGAAGAAGGAAGCTGGATCTCAGACCTAATTAAGGTGCATAGGTAACATTTAATATTCACTCTTTGTGTTTACATACTACATGAACATCATACAAAACCCTAGAAAAATTCCTAAAATGCGAACAGCAGTGGCTCAGTCAAACTAGAAAGGCCCTTCCCTCCTCATCCCAAATCAGGGCCCCTCGGGAGTACGGAACCACAAACCCACTACCAAAATCAAACACATTATCATGCATTTTATCAAGGCTTTTCAGCCAGGATAATCCTCACTTCACTTACTAACAATTTCAAATACCTGAACAAGCCAAACAAAGCATCTTCTCTTGTTCAGAACACCCAAGATGAATTCAACCTAAACCCAACATTCTAGAAATACCATGGCTTAAAGTAATGCAAAAATAAACCACTTGACAAAACAGGTCTTTTCCTTCACACGTTCGTTTCTTGCAGACGATGCCGCTAAAACTTGCAAAATAGCACTTATTCATCTTTCCCTGAACTAAGATTCTTTATAGCAACTTTCCCACTGTTAGCTGAGTTTTACATCATGCCAGAGTACAATACTTAACCCAGCCATACCAAGTCTGCCATGAGGACACATAACAGAACTTTCTCCAAACTAACACAAGAAAGTGTTATTTACTTCTTTACGTATACTCTGTGTACCACAACTACAGCTATTAAATGACGTTTTGTAACTCCTTCACTGACTTATCAGAACTTCTTAAATTCTACATTACTTACTCATCATCTGGAGTGAGCTGCACAGGTTCGTTGGTGAACTGGGAATCAAAGTTATCCAGACCGAATTCTCCAGATATATTTGGTTTAAACGGCGGCACCACTTGCTTTTGCTCCATCTAAGAATAAATGCACTTAGTGACGCCAAGAATGAGTTACAACCCATTGAATTATTTTTAAACAAGGCTGGCAGTTACTATTAAGTTTCTTTTGCATACTTTCTACAATCATTCTATTAATCTACTGTACTTACTGTGTGTAAAAGGGTTAAAAGATTCTGTACTGTCATTATGGTACATCATAAGGTAAGAGCTTAAGGTTTTTATGCTTAAGGTCATCTCTCATGCTCAAAATAAGTTGTCAAGCCATCGCTGTGTACAAAGAAAATAAGCCCAGCCACTGGGCATTCACGTACCAGATCCCAATCAACGTTGCGAAAGAATGGATGTCCCTGGATATCTGCAAATCCCGTTTGAGGATGGCAGCCTAAACGTTCCTTTGGATCCTGCGCGAGGGAGAAAAGATTTCTAAGTGGGTGTCATGGCCTACACATGAATAAAATACAAATGTTACAAATTCCGTGAGAAATGAAACACCAGAGTTACAAGGGACACTGAAGAACTAAGTTAGCGTTATTTATTTTGGAAACTGTTCCAATTTACTGTCTGAAATAGGCATGAATACATGGAAGCCTTTAACGTAATTTTGTATAAACAACCATGCCATCTCTCTTCGTTTTTATTCTGACCTGTTTAAGCATCCCATATGTTTCAGAGCAAGCTGATAAATACGGCGGAAAGGAGGTTATTTTAACAAGACAATTCCATCTCCGTGTACACGTACGCACACACTACCAAGGGGCTGTAACAGAAGCAGTGTTCTTGAACAGTATTACTTTCTCAGAATAATTTAGCCAAATCTCTTTTCTCCTGTGCCTCTTTCTCGCCACTCATCTAACACTCACTAAATAAAGGCCAGCACGTTCTCAGACTAGCCCACTACCACATATGCCCTTTTTGACTCTCAGGCTAGTTAGCTACCAGCAAACACTGAGCATACACTGCCTCTGCATTTCCCTCGATGAAGTCGTCAGCAGCTGTCACAGTGATTTGCTAAGCTGCTTCTCTTTAAGAACCAAAATAAATCTGGTAAGTTTGTCCAATTCCCCAGGTTAAAGAAATCACTCTGACCATTTTTAAGCCTTTCAAGTTGAAATTTACTCATGATCCCAGCCTGAGAACCTGGAGCTTCAGATTTTAAGACAAGTAGCTAGAATAGATCCCCCAGCCCCACTGGAATTCTGCTTTAGGCTCACACCCTTTCTACCCTATTTCTGTATCTGGCAGATAAAGTATGTCTACTACACACTGATTAGCCAACAGGTTTTAAAAAAAAAAAAAACAAACAAAAAAACCCCAGCTGCCCTTGAAAAGGTTTAGTCCCCTTTAGCTCTTACCTTATTAAGGAAACTCTTTAGAACACCCGCTGCTTTAACAGAAAGCGATCGAGGAATTCGGATCTGTTTTTCCAAAATTACTGCAAGAAAACAAGGTTCATATCAGCCTTTGCATCTTTAAAATTAAAGGTAAGCAGAAACAAAGCACTGAAGTCCAGGAACACTCCTGGCACTTACCTTGGAAAAGATAATCTTCTGTGTTCTGATCAGGATTGTCAGAACTCCCGACAATATCAAATGGTGACCGGCCCGCCATCATTTCAAACATCAGCACACCAAGTGCCCACCAGTCTACACTGAAGCCTAGAATTCCAATGAGAAAACACCACCCAACATAGTTTGGAGCAAAAATAACAACACTTTTGGGGCTAAAGACAGACATGTTTTGAGAAGAAAGAATTAATTCAAAAATTTAAGTATTGCCAGTCTTTCCCATTGTCTGAACAAAGGAGAGGTAACAGTTGTACTAGACATGACTTGGTTCGTTACGTGCGCAGAGGAGGGAATGATGTACAAAGAAAAGGAAATGCAGTTTAAAGGTTGGTGCTAGGACCTTAACGAAGGTTTAGATAATATTTAAGCCTAGTCATTACTAACCAACAGGGGGTTGGCTATCCAGGGTGGGGGACAAGGAGGAAGTATGTGGTTCTTAATGGTAGCAAGACAGTAATTTATGGAGCTAAGCATATCTATTCTACTATTCACTGCTAAAGAAAAAAAATTCCAGTAGCTAGGGCTGGGACTGACATAGTCGGGTTGGCCTGGAAAGTTTGTAATAAGGAAGGAAGACATGAAGCCAGTCTGAAAGAGACATTTGATTGAAATAAGATGGTAGATTTAAAAAAAGATATATACTTTTTTTTTTTTTTAAATAGGAACTGATTGTAGAACTTATTAAAATCTTAAGGAAAGAAAACAGATCAAAGATCTGCTTGGCACAGTATTGGAAGCTTAGGAAGAAAGGGTAAGCAACAGGAAGCATACACAGCAAGCCTTCTATACTCTCTTAAGTCTCTTGCTTCAGTAATCTTGTGGGCTTCCTGAACAAGCAATCGCATAGACAATTTCATTTTTAACAGAGATTTGTGAAAGGGATGTCTACTATCTAGGCCCTTCACAATGCATTTATATGTAATACTATCACTGCCGCCAAATATAAAGCTCCAAAACTCAACACAATTCAAGACTGCAAGTTTATCATTGGTAGTATCTAGAATAGTTATAAACAATAAGAAGATCAGAAGACTCAAGTTATTCTTCGAGACTGACAAAAAGAACTTAAAGGGTGGAAGGCAGGGTATCTCATTTGCTTGGTGTGATGTCTTCTGCTCTTCCTTTGAATGGTTTATTCACTTTTTCAGACAGGAGGCTGAATTAAGACTGATCATGTGTCTAAGGGAGATTTATACTTTCTGCTGCTAAGCAGCTTGAGTAAGAAGTAAGAGACAAGTGAAAGTTACACGGTAGCAGTGAAAAATTCAATTTACCATAATCCTCTCCCCGGAGAATTTCAGGTGCAATATAGTTTGGAGTCCCACAGAATGTGCTGGTTGTGTCACCAGGCCTCAGACCCTCCTTTAAGAAAAGATGGGAAGAAAATACTTCACAGTTTGCCAAAGATCCCACACTCCCCCTCTGCTAAGAACTTAATTTTGAACTAAGTGTCCTGAATAAACTGCTTTCGTTTTAGTAAAACTATATTTAAATCTGTATGTAAATGAATACAAAACACTACTTGTTTCAGAAGGCAGGAGGATGGCACATACCTACTGACAACGTCATCTTTTAAGGTTTTAGCCAGTAAGCTCCACCACCTCTCCAGCAATAGGCAAGTGGGAATAACTGAGGCATGATGGAACAGCTTACACGACCGGGGTGCTGCTATCAACAGATACAAGCTTTTCAGAGAAGAGCATGGGATGCAGGATGGGGGGGTTTTCCCATGGGAGTCGGGCAGTCTTCATCCTTGGAAGTTTTCAAGGCCAAAATGAATAAAGGCCTCAGTAACCTGGCCTGATCTCATAGCTGACCCTGCTTTGAGCAGGAGGATGGATTAGACCTCCTGAGGCCCTTCACCTACTCGCGTTATTTCATGCTTTTCAGTCGCTTAGCCAAAATTATAGCATTTAAAGTAGTTCTAGTAGAGCAGCATAATGGCAATTCCATGGCAAAGTCAAACCTGTGCTCCAGTGTCTTTGCAGTGACAAAGTTTTTCTAGAGAAAACGGGGGAGTGTCATAGAATCCAAATGACAGCAGGTGGGAGCGATATATTTCAACCTCTCGCTCTTTTTGAAATCAAGTTATCTTGATTATTTCAACCTACCGCTCCCAGTCATGTTGATACAGCAACTTCATAAAGACATGAACAGTACATATATGTAATCTGTGCACTTTAGCATTTCTTTTTCTTTTCTCCATTTGTAAAATTGAAATGACTACCAGCCTGTCTGCACTGTGTATAAATGAATACCTTGAAATTTCACGGTTTTAAGCCTCCGCATCTTAATTTATGACCATTTCATAATTGTTGATTTTACTGGTTAGCAAGGAACTAGAGCTTACCTTGCACATGCCGTAATCTGTGAGTTTAATATGCCCTTCAGAATCTAGTAGCACATTATCCAGTTTTAAATCTCTGTAGATTATCCCTCGTTCATGTAAATAGTTCAATGCTAGACTAATTTCAGCAGAATAAAACCTAGGGTAGAAAGAGAGATTCAGAATAAAACCTAGTGTAGAAAGAGATATTGATGACTCAAGTAATCAAAAACCCAAACCACAACAACAGTCTCAGTCATATGACACTTTTCTAAATATAATCCCCTGTATTCTATTATTTTTCATCAGAGAAGTGGATAAGTTGTTTATAATCATACAAACATTTCTACCCACAGTCACTTCAAAAATTATTTTTAATTAATATTAATGTCTACTGAAATCATCCCTTTCATCTCACCATCTGAGATGAAGCATATGCACCAAGAACTCAGCATTTGCCTGGACAGCTGGTAGTGGTTGTTGTAAGAGAAACACATTGATATCATTAGACAGTTAAAAAAAAACAACAACAAAAAAACCACACACACAAAAGTGTTTTTCCAGGAAAAAAAAAAAAAATCAGAATCAGACTGAAGTTATCTAGGTGACTTCAATACCTATTACAGTTCCTCCTTGAAACAAAAATATGGTAGCTTGCAGCATTAAAAAGTGAGGATGCAGTTTCACGTTTCTTAAATCCTTAACATCTGGAGAGGATTTGCTAGCTCATCATCATAATCTCTGCACTACTGCACTGTGTCAGAAAACCAACTGTTTTGACACAAGAAATTTGAAATTAGACATACCTGGCATGCTCCTCTGGCAGCTTTCTCTGTCTCTGCATATGAAACATTAGATCTCCTCCGTTTACGTACTCTATAACAAAGAATAACCTGAAACACACAGGAGTGTGTTAAAAATAATTGTATACAAGGCTGAAAGAGGTTTGAGATGTTCCAGGTCTGTTATCGAACAATGTCAGTTCAACTCCTCCCATCTCTCTGGTAATATGGCTGGTTTCACCATCTTCCCTCCCTTTGAATGAATTCCCAGAGTTAAAAATTAAGTATATGAAGTTTCTCTAAATAATTCCCTTATTGTTAAAGGAAAGTAAGTAATCCTTCCCACATTCGTAATCCATTACAGCTACTCCTTGTCATTATTACACGTGTTACTATATAAATAGACTCACATCAGTTTCTATGCACAAACCAGAAAAATTTTCTCATTTTCCCTCCTGATCCCTTCAATCTCCTTTGTCTGTGCTTAGTACTTCTCTTTCTTCCCACTTCCCTGCACTAGCTTGTCACCTTTTCAAACAGCAAGGATGTTGTTTAAATATACAACAACTATGTTTTGTATACACTGAAAATTATTACTGTATAGAATAGTAATTTATTCATCTACTGCAATCTCTTCTCCTATATATAAACACATAGGAAAAGAATCATTTTCATCTCTATTACTGTTTTCCTTTTTAAAATTCACGTACTATTTTCCAAGTTTTGCTCAGAGACTCATCTCCAGAGAGTCCATGCAAGTTTGAGATAAATCTCCTCATTTTTTGTACTTCTGATTTCTCTCTCCCTAAACCTTTTTTCCCCTCCCATTGTCAGTTCTGTCTTCTATCTCATATTTTTAAGCCTTTTTTTTCTGCTAGCTGCACCTCTCTTCCTGTCCAGAATCCTTCCCATCATACCTACCAGTACTTTACATTCTTTTGCATCTTCCCCATCTGAGAAGCTTAGATGATGAACATGGCCTTTTGCTCATAAAATGCTACAATGATTTACAGCACATTGACTTTCGCTACCTACCTAACACTTAATGCTTTAAATAAGCCTTTGAGGTGCCTAACAGTATGAAATATTTTTTGAATAAGACAATCTTCTTATTATCTCATGACCTTTACCTGCTTTCTGTCTGGAAGCAAGAGTGTAGTCCAACAAGAAAGGGATGATTTGAAGCCTGTTCAAAGACGTGTTTCTCTGTCTGAACCCAATCAATATCCTATATATTCAAGAAAATCGACATTCAGAAAAGGATCGTTGCACTTTTTAGGTCAGGTATTAATGACAATTAGCAGAAAGATATTAAAGTGTTTTGCCATCCTCATTTTACTTGCAAGAAATCAAATATTATATAGTTCTCCAATGTGAAGTAAGACAATTTAGCATATTCTTTTTTTTCCTCTTGCGTGTCCCGTACTTTTAGCCTCATTGTGTAATTACACTTGGGAATGAAAAAACACTGACACACTCATCTATAAAACATAAACCGGTGCAGACAAATGTAAAGTAGCATCAAGAAATGCAGAAGAAATCAATGGCAAACTGAGAAATAAACGCAAAAACTCTCGGGCAGCAAACCACAGTCACTTGAGTCTTTTTAGAGTAGCCTAAAGAAACACAAGGGAATTCTTCAGCAACAAGAGGTGTTCAGCAGTTCAATACTGCAATTTCTGGTTAGTTTCTACTAATCACTGGATAAGCTACAAACAAATTGTTAAGATGGAGGTCCAATTTAAAGAGCAATTAAAATGACATTGGGAGCTCTCCTTCGTGACAAAAAAACAAAACTTGAACATATGAAAACCAGACTCCCCCCATCTCTTTTTCAGCCCAGCAAGCCAACATAATAGGAGATACATGGGATACTGCTCCAAAATAACGAAGCAAGCCAGGCTTATTAACTTGAATTCTGCAGGAGAACTGCTGCAGACAGTACTGATCACAAAAGGAGACACTGACAACGGAGGCAGTGAGGCTCGTGACAGAAACTGCTGGCACAGGAGGGCAGCTGTGAGCTACCAGTCTGTCAATGAAGACCTCAAAGTTGGTTATCTGTCTTGTGAACCTTCTGTAGTATAGTATGTATAAGAAACTGCATGTATAATTTTCAATTAGCCTTGCAGACCCAGAAGCCTGGCTCCCACCTTGTCGTAGATACTGAAGCTCTTTGGAAGAGCTGATTTATTGATAAAAAGCTTGCCTACCTCATCATCATTGACGAGCTCTTTCTTCACCACTTTCATCGCATAAATACGTTCAGTTTTCTTCAATCGAACAAGCAGTACTTTAGCATAACTGCCTCTTCCTATAACTCGGAGCAAATCAAAATCCTGAAGACCCAGACTGGAGGAAGCTTTGCCACTTTCTCTAATGCTCATTGCCTTTTGATAAAGATAATTTGACATTAGTAAGCAGGCCTGCCAATTTTAACAACTGCAAAAGTTAGCATTTCAAATAGAACAGCAAAATTAATATAGACAACTGATTCAATTAACACTTGTTTTTCTTAAAACTGCACTGGTCTGGAAAGGAATGCGAGTGGAAAGGAAGATGGCAGAGGAGACTTGGCAGATAAGGAGCAAATGAAGCTGGAGGAGTTTGGAATACTTCAAGTCAAAGCACATCTCAACTCAAGGTTCAAAATAAAACAGCTTGCAAGCCATAAATGCACATACCTGAGTGAGCAACCCAAATGTGCTTTATGTACTAGTTTTCAGTTTGTGACAAGTTAAATTACTAAAATCTTGAAATTGAGAGACAAAGGCTTTAAGATCTCTTAATACAGTTAGCACGGTTACGATACTTCACCTCTTTTTCTTCACCAACGTGGTCCAAGCTCTCATGACTTGAGGGATTGTACGGAATCACTAGAGGTACAAGAAAAATTATTAGATGGATGTGACACAACAGTATTTTCTTTTGTCTTAAAATTTCCACACACAAGAGCTCAATCAGAAAGATACACAGTTTAAATGCATCTATTTTAAGTATTCAAAACTGTTGGGTTTGACTTTTTTTTTTAAGCCATCAGAATCATTCTTTTGCAATACTGCATTAATAATCAGTTATGGCTAATATAGAACTCTGTAACTATATTTGGAGATCTCTTCAGATTCATCTTGACTCCACACACAGAGAATCTTGTGCAGAACAGTGGTTTGTTTGGTGTTTAACCAGATCATTGTCTATATTAAAATTCAAGCGTTAGGACCATCACCCTGATTGCTACAAGAATGAACTTGTTTGGCTCCCGATTCAGTAGAAACCCTGCTAATTCTGTTAGGGTTTGGTTTTTTTTTTTTTTTCCTGTTTGTTTCATCAGGGCATTTAAAGTACACGGTTTACTGATGGAAAAGTGTCACTGACAGACTAAATTCTTCCTCTTTAGCCAAGTTTCTTAAACTGATGAGATATGAAAAACCGAGGAATGTTTATATTTATATCCCCCTTAGCATTAAGAAGCTGTCTTAATTTTCTTGTTCTATGAACAAAAGTAAAGAAGGGTTTTAAAAATAAAGTTATTCTGTTTCATTTTAAAACCCAAAGTACATGTTTCAGCCACTTACAGTAATTTAAAGAAAAAAAAATTATTCATCTTACCCGATTCTACATTATCTGGATGCACTGATGATGAATCCATAGGCATTATTGGTTCCTGCAAACATGCACAGGATTTTTGTAATAGACTGTCCAAGTGTGAGAGACATTATTTTAGAGACAATAAATTAAATAAATGATCCCTGAGGAATATAATCTAGCTACTTTTTAACTTGATTCGTCAACATAGTTACTGTTCTAATCAATACACAATAAAAGAAACCACTGCAGTCCTTATTTTACCTATTTTCCAGAAGTTATGACATGTTTCCAGAAGCTGTTCAAGTGACAACTCAGTACAACACAGAAAAGTATAGCAGATGAGAAATGAGACAGAAAAGCTCAAGTACTTCAGCAGTACATATATTAGCCAAATGAATTAACAAAATGTAGACCTGTAGCTGTCTGCTTTTAATATTAAAGGAGCAGTAATCATCTAAATTTTGCTGGGGACTTCAGAACTAAAAATGATTTAATTTCTTGGGCGCAAAGTCAAAACTTCTGCACTTCATCTTCCTTTTCTGTGAAATGGGAAATAGTCTAATAATCTAACAGATGTTTAGAGAATTATTTTACCTGTACCTCACTTTGAAGATGCAAAATAGTGTGTGTGTGCATATGCACCACGTAACAATATAGCGAAGGATGAGATAAATATCACTTGTATGTTTGTATTTGACACAGGAAAAAATCAGATATGAAAGTCAGACGCCCGTCTTGCCACTAAATTGCCATTTTGCTAAGTGATTCCCAAACTTTCTTGCAAAGTTTCACAGTAACCACAAAGAATGATGTTTCATCTACTGTGATTATTTGCAGACTACAGTCTGAAAACCATTAGTATAAAATGGTCTTTTTTGTTTGCTTGGCCGGTTGTTGTTTCTTAAAGACAACTTTTCAGACAAGTTTTACTTACTGGTTGTAGTGTATGACGGCCACATTCAACATTGACAAGTTTGTGACACTTCTTGTGAACAAGGAGTTTGCAATTGATACATTTATACCCTTGGCGACCCAGGCCCCATATTCGGTCGGTGCAGATGGCACAATGAGCTCTCTAGAATGACAAATCAACAAAACCGATTAAAGAGCAAAACTGAACAAAAACTATTCAGCCGCATTTTCATTAACAAAGAACATGGATAGGAGATTAGAGAGATCCCCACTGAACTTGCCGCTATACCAAGAGTCTCTGACAGCTTTAAGAATGAACAGGCAGATACAATACAGAGGATATAAAAAATTAGAAACTGAACAATAAGCAGCAAACGCTGTACAGAAAGTGTGCATCTACACAGAAAGGTGCAGGCACAGCCAGCCTCTTCTGCTTCACACAGACCCAGAGAGACGTGAGCCAACTCCAGGTCAAAAGCATTGCAGCTGAATCAGCAGGCTGCTGTGCCCATGCTAATTTGCTACCCGTCTCGTCACCTCTCTGCGTAGATGAGTCCTTACATTTGTACAGAGGAAGGCAGGAGAGCAAAAGCTTCAACACATTAAACCACCAGTTAAGAGGAAGTGGGAAGATCACCATTCACTGAAGAACATTCACAAAACAACTCAAAAGAACCATGAGAACAGGGTGTCTATGAAAGCAAGAGCAGAAAGTGATTAAACTATGGTGCCTTGACAGCCTTTACCAGGAAGAGGTTAAAAAAAAAAAAGAGCAGTTAAGATATGAAGGATGCTCAAGCTGAAGTTTAGTGGAGACATTCTCAAGCATTAAGCACACAATACACTAAGCTTAGAAAAGAAGGAAAGATTATTGAAGCTGTCAAGGAACCTGGCTTATTCAAATATTTTGGGTTTGTTTTTTGCTGTTGCCTTTTCTAAATACAACAGATAACCTTCTTGGTCCGTTAGCTAACTATATTTGACCATTGCTTCTTGAAAATATTACAAATGGTTTGTTATTTTCAGTTGATTACATGCCATCATAAGCAGGCTGTTTGGAGAAACATCTCAGTTTTTCCTTTAAAAGTCATGAAAGAAAAGTCTGTGCATCATAAGCGAGTTCAGACCTTTTTACTCCCAGAACTTAAAGAACAGCAAATGCACTTTCAGCTCACAGTCATCTAATGCCAGTGTTCAAGCTTGCCCTCTGGGAAGATTTTAAGGGAACACAGGAGCATTTATATAATTGATACCATGAATTCAGAGTATATGTAAAGTGAATTGCAACCAATTTCTTTTTTTTTTTTCTAAGTTCCTGAGAATTTAATAATGATTACGTTTCTTGAAGCAACAGGGTTACCAAAAGTCTACATACTATAGACAAACAACAAAAATGAGAATAAAACTACCTTATAATTTTTCAAGGCAGTGACATTGTAATTATGAAAGTAAGACATCCCTGTACCATGGTTTTAAGTACCCAACAAGAGTCTCACCCTGTTAAATCGTTTGGCTTGGAAAGTGTGACCATTTGCACAATAGAGCTTTCGCCACCGGCGGGCGCCTCGGCGATAAATGGATTCTAAGAGGAAAAACATATGATTATATCCATAAAAATATAAACACAGAACTACAACATCTTCTCATGGACGTTTCTGTGTAGAGTGATTTGCAGAGCAAAGTTTCACTCCTGCACCTTACAGAAACACAGAGTCATGTTCCAAGTATCTTTTTCATTTATTTTTTTTTATGTTTTGGAGAAAATTTGAAGTAGAATATCCCCATCAACTCAAAGTTAATTCTGCTTTTCCAAAGTTAAAAGGAACAGTGAGTCAAGAGAAGGAAAACTGCCCAAACAATATAAATGCTTGTGTGCAAAGTACGCACCTACCTTACCTAAACTTGGGGAGGAGCTGTGGGGAAAGGGAAGGAGGAAAGAAGGTGAATTTCAGGAGCACACCCCGGTTTATAAGATTGCTTGCACAAATCCTCCAGTGTTTTAGACCCACAGCTGCCACTGCCTGGGTTTTTTTTTTAATTATTTTTTTATTACTAGAGGCATGTCAGGAACCAAAATTGAAAACCAGAATATACAAAACTACACTGAGATGCAAATCTATTTCTGATTCAGTCCGCAACCTCAGTTTTTCAGAAAAGGAGCATTACCCATACTGCCAAAGTTAACTTTTAAGCATGCACATTTACATTTGTCAGAGACTCGGATATCAAGCTGACAGACACGTGTGTGCATAACATACACATGCTCTTCTATAAAACTTTAAGACTGAGGGAAAATTACGTCTTTAGTCGAGGACATCAGCTAATCTAACTCAGAGGTTTTCGTAGAATACTCCTGATAGTACCTAAACATCAATTTAAAATGAATTAACCACAGATCTCTAAACGGTGATACGACAAGTTGTTACCATTGGGTACCACTGGTTACAAGCCTTTGTTCACATTAGTCAGCCAGCAATCTGGCAACTACCAAAAAGACAGGAACAGGATAAAAAACTGTCACGATAGAAGAGGCAAAAGCAAGGAAAGCAGAGTGACATGGATAGTTAACAGGAACATGAAATGCTTATTAACAATGATTCAGAAGTGACAAACAACATTTAAGTTTAGCGAGACTTTCTATTCCTTTTAAATATTTAATTTGTAGAGATCTGCATTATTAATATTCATAAGCGTAGGATGCCAAACCATAGAATATCAAAAATTCTAAAACAGGAAATCTGAATTCCTCATTTTCTGTACTTCTTAACTAAAATGCCTACTTACTATCTTCTCCTGGACAAGGCATGCCAGGCCGTTCTGGTACACAAGGAAATACTGCAAGAAAAACATTAACTTCTGATTAATTTTTATTTTGGACAGAAAATAAACCTTTGGGTTAAATACAACACTTCTGAAAAGCATTCAACCATTCAGGAAGACAGCACAAACTGCATTTTAACAAAACCTTGTGCAAGAGCAGGTGACCTGAGAAGCTGCCACAAAACCCTTTTGCTGGACGTAACAGTGATACACATGAGGAATACGAGCAAAAAGCAGAATAAAGCAAGTTATTTCCTACAGAAAAAAGCAATGATTCTGGTTTCTCATGTGACCAGTCATCACAGTCAGTATTTGGAAATCTTGACTATAAATGTATTATATTACAGCATCTTAACAGCTACCTATGATCTTGTCTACATTAGCCTATTTTTTTTCAGTTTATTTAGCTTCAGTAATTGTCAGAGAGAAGTATACCTGCGGACAGATAGCCCTGGTGCTGGTTTAATCAGAAGCTTATCAAACACAAAAATAAACGAAGAAAGGGCAGATCAAAAAGCATACTGAAGTAATATATACAGAAACAGTGGAATATATACAGAAAGATTACATTCTTCTTCCACTTTTTAAAAGTCTTTGTGGGAAGCTGAAAAGCTGTCTCTTCCTTCCAAATGAGCTGATGGTGACTAGATTTTTTGCATCCTTTCAGAGAAGGACCATATTAAGACATGTGTAACACACCCACTAACACTCTTTACAACGAGCCCCTGCTTTTCTGCTATAACCTCTGTTAAACTGAAATCTATCTTCTACTTGTAAAAAGTTACAAACAGTAAGAAAAATATACTGCAGAAGCCACCAAAATAGGCATATAACCCTGAAAAATAAAAATTGAACAATTACACATCAAACAGGGGCACGATATTATTAGGTTCAAAACTGGTCTAAAGTACTTAAGTTTAGAAAAGTCAAACTGCTGACTAATCTGGCATCACAAACGGAGCTCATCAACTTTTTTTCCTAATATAGATGCTGCTCTGAACCACTTATCAATAACAAAGCGTAGGACACTGTACTATATATCTTCTACCATTTGTTACCAGCAAGTGTACGAAGGCACTTGGGATGAATGAATGAGAGAGACAGCGGCTGTCTTTCATTAATAAGCTAACAGCAAGTATTTTTTCCTCCCTTAATTTAATAAGGAACACTGACAAAGTGCTGACAGCTAAAAACTGCGGTGCCTGGTCTTCAGCATCCTCTTGACAGAATGCCACAACAGGCTTTAATTGAGGAGGCTGTGCAAGACACAGGTAATGCAAGGTAAAAATTCCACTTATTCACAGGTACAAACATGAGAAGTAATACAGTAAATTTCACCATACCATGAATCAGAAGCTCTGAATCCTTGTTTAGTTCATACAACCGAAAGGCCTCTTCTAACTCCAGCTGAGAAGAAACTGTACATGGGTCTCCTGTAGAAAGAGAAGAGAACAATACAAAACTCAATCCAATTAGCTCTGTACAATTCAAGAGTTCCCCCACAGTTGGTTCTAAGATAATTATTGTAGCAAAACAGAACAATATTCTCAAGTGTGGTAATATTTATTTTTAATGCTGTTCAGGGAGTACATCTGAAAATACAGTCATATTGAATGCTTTCAGGGAAAATAAAAATACGAGATATTCCCAAAAGGCAAGCAGATCATAATCACAAAACATCATTGTTTGGTCTGCTACAAGCATGGTTACACATCATTTCAGTTCAGGAGGCGCAGGTTATCTTCCTGCACCTAAAATCCTTCTATGATTCCATTTTATTTCATGGATTTTTAATTAGAACTGAGGCAATTCTATTTTCACAGCTGCTTCAACACGGCCAAGACTTTAACCAGGAGGTGCAAAAGCAGTTAGACCTCTAGTCTTTCCTCAAACCTCAGTCAAGACATTGGACAAATCATGTAACTTAAGTGAAAACACCCCATTTTTCTGATTTTTCACTGCTACATTCACACTCTTGGGACTATTTGAAGTAAAATCCCCTAAAGAAAGGGCACCAAAGCAGGAAAAAACTGTGGAGTGGTGGTGGTGGTTTTGTTTTTTTTCTTTATTATAAAACGATTGCAGCTTTTGTTGACTATTTGAGATGAGGTAAATTATCATGCAAGCACTTGGCATGTATTTTAAAGTTTCTCTGACAAGACTGCATTGGATTGCTTTAACAAATCTGCGTTTCAGCAGTAACAGTTCAGGACTGACTAAGGTCTCTTCGTAGATATCTAGTTTATGTTTCTGAAAAAATATCCTGCATCCACAAAGGCATTTCAGAATCATTAAACAACACAATCACATCAGGGCAATTTTGGCCTATAGGTTTAAAACTTGGGGACAAGGGTGGGTGAGGAACAAAGGAGATCAAACTAGAGGTCTGCTGTATTCAGGATCAGGAACAAGAAGGACCTTAAATTGCAGCCTTGGTTCATACGCCTTTGGACAGGTAGCCTGTACTTTACCTGTTTCTCAAGACTCATCTAAAGAATTCATCTGATATTTTAACTGATCACCTGTGTCCACCAGTGTTTTGAAACTGCTATAAAGGCTGAAAAGAACATCCATGCAACAAAATGTTTTCTTCAGTGTCTGATGCACATTAGTAACATTATAAAAAAATTATCCCCCTAAAAGAAGAAACCTTTGTTCAAAACAATACTACAACTGAAACATTTTTAAAGCAATGTTGAATCTGAATCATCACTGCCCCAAAGAAAGAAAATACTTCTGGTTATTAATTCAACTTCCCCCCCCTCCACCTATACAAGATGTTCTGTGGGATTTATCTCTGCCTGTTCGTACTCCAACACGTAAGCAGAACAAGCTTCTTTCCAGCCAAAATCCCATGCAGCAAGTCTACTGTCATATAACATTTCCAATTTTTAACACAAATACTACTTTCCACACCCTTAAGTGGTAAATTGGTTGTGGGTAAGTGAACTGGAAGAAGGCAGAACAATTTCCGTCTCAGCTGAACTGGATCCAATCTGAAAGTTTTACTGCTTTGAGTCTTCGGTCAATACCATGGTTTGAAAGTTCACTAGCAACAGTCTATTAACTATTCTCTTTTTGTTTTGTACTACAAGATATCAAAATTAATTCAGGCGTTGCTAAAGCTTTTCAGTAGAACTATGTACCTACCAGGCAAGGGGATATTTAAAACTTACCCTGCAAAAGTTTTTCTAGTTAATTTCTTTTGTTTCTAATGTATCCATTCTTTTCTATTGCTAAAATATTAGTAATAAATGTACTGTCCATTTGCAGCATTCTGTCTTTGTTCTTTTCTGCATGTCATAATCCTGAAAACGAGTCTTTGAAGCCAGTTGTAGTCATTTTTCATTATACCACCTCCCCCCTACAATTAGCCTATCTGGACATCAAACTGCCTACCCACCGCACAAACTTACACAGTGCGGAGCACAGGGGGAGGAGAAGGAACAACTCCATTGATTCAGACTCACTATGACAATGAGCAAACCAGTTTTTCTTCATTTGTTTCCGACACCTGTGCAAACAGTTTTGTGTTTCTTTTTGGCAGAAGAAAAGGAGGCTCTCAAGAACACACACCGTGCTCCAAACTAGGAACAGAAGGTTTATAGACATACTCTTTCGACAAGTTCAGAGTAGTACCAATTTTGCAGCCAAAGACAGCTGGGCTAAGTGTCATAGGAAAATATTTACTTTTGAGTTATACAGCAAGAAACAACAGACTGAACACAAACATAAGGCTAGTGGTCCATCCTGCAGGGCATTTCAGAAGACAGAGGTAAGACAAACGGACCACACACAGATAAAACAGAAATTTGTCTAAAATCAAATCAAGTTAATTCTATTTTCCAGTTGCATCAGAGCATTTTTTGAAGTGATTCCACTCAACTAAATTATGTCTGCCTTTGTGTGCCATTACCTCTATGAAATAAAAGTAATTATACACAATGGTCTGCATCTTGCAAAGGCTAAAAAGACATTTAGTACATGGCAAATAAAAACCTTAGTGACTAGGTAAATCCAGTTTAGTCACACATCTGATCAAGCAGTTCAGTCAGGAAGTAGCGAAGAGATGGCCTAGACACCATACCTTGTCCTACACTACACAAAGCACGGGTAGTAGCGTAACAACTACCAGTCCCCAGTACCCACATCTCCTCATGTTACTATTAAAGAGGAAACTTCAGTTTTAGTGAAGAGGATGCAAGACAGGAATTTTCCAAGAAAGCAAATTATGAGTTTCTAGAAAGAATATCCTCTGAAAACACTAGAGAGAGGTGGAGAGAGAGGAAGAGAGGAGGCAGGGGTCTTGGCAAGAAGCCGCGCATTGTAGATGCAAGAATTACTCATAATAAAGATGGGGGGATTTTTTTTTTTTAAACACACTCCTCATCGCCAGATGAACTTTTTCTCCACTGACATTAAACTGGAAGTCAATGATTAAAGCAAACACAGATTGCTTGTGAAAATTGAATCCTACGTGAATACATGAAAATAATGTAGTCAAACTGCAGCATTCCTTTTTTTTTTTAAGCCTATCTCTAATTAAAGAGCAGATATTGAGACAGAACAAACTGTTGCTTCAAGTAAATTATTGAATCTGCACAAAATTTTCTACAAATGTTTTATCAAAAAAGATATGTACTTCTTACTGTGACTGATACTGCAGGCTCTTCCTCTTCAGTGAGAGGTCTATTATCTTCCTCAAGATAAAACAAAACAGCCAGCTTACTATGAAGTAAATGTTCAACTCGAATAGCACCACTGCACAGTTCAGTCATAACATTGTTCATTTCACTCTACTGCATCTGCCTGGTATAAATAACTTCGGAATAATGCCAGGAAGGAAAAAAAAAAAAAAAAAAAAAAAAAAAAGAAAGAAAACCTGCTCAGATTCCCAAGACCACATAATCTTCAACACACCTGCCCATATAGCATTTCCAAAAATCAGCTTTGTTTAGCTTTAAGCTCTGAATAAACTAGAACTCACCCAATTTTGAATGGGAAAGCTGTGAGAAGGGGAGGAAACAGTTCTATAAGCACCATTTATGCTGATCACTGCATACAAATACTAATCACTGCACATTATGGCCTTTTATGTATTGCATCAAGTAATTAGCATGCTAAAATAACTCAACGGCTATTTCATAATTCAGATGTCTCCTCGGTGTAGCTCGAAACCTGTGTAGAATACACCAATTCCACAAAGAAAATAGGAACTACAAATAACCTTTTCAAAAAATTACTAATGTATACATACAGCTCAACTGGACTACATCTGCTAAGGAAAAGGGAAAACAGACTCTGAACTTTTTTTTCATCCGAGGTAGACTTAACACAGATAACGTAAGTGCTAGAGATGACAAGAGTTTTCAGTCAAAGTTGTTACTGCACTTTGGTGAAAGGTTACATACATAATTCAGACAAGGCATTTCTCTTTCAATATTTAGAAAGGTTTTTCAGTAGCTATGTGTGAACAGACTTTAGGTTGCTAAAGTAACAGCTGATACAAACACTCAAAATATAATGGTTTTGGTTACACATACAACTCAACTATATATTAAATTACATCAATATTTTAGAAAAATACTGTAATTTGTAGAATTTAACATTAGTTTAACTCTTTTTCAAAGATTTAAGACTTAAGGGAAACCATAGTCGTCTTCAGCAGTCTAAGAGAATACTTTCTATTTCTTTCATAAGAAATCTTAACATTGAATTCACATTTTGATAGTCACTGAGGTTTTATTTGGTTAAAAAAAAAAACAAAACAAACAACTACCTTTTCATTAAGATATACTTACAAAGACATTGGATAACCAGTATTTTTGATTTACTATTCCTAGAAATTTACTTATGAAGTATGTTTTAGAAGCTTATCTTATGACAGCAGAAGGAAAAGAAAAGATGAAAGGGAGAGGAAAGCTCAAAAGCTGAGCAACATATTGATCAGCATTGATTTACCTTCTTCATCAATCCACTTCATGGTGAAAAGCTGTTCGTTGTCAAAGGAGCACATGTCTCGAACTTCACTGCACAGTCCCTCAAATGAGATGGAAGGTTCAAAATATGTTATCATGATGTCCCTGAGCAAGAGAAAAATAAATTTGAGAAACTATACCATAATATGTAGCACTTGATCACCACCTCTAACACCTTCCATATACCACTAATATAAAACCCATCCCTGCTGCAGCCCCCTAAAAAAATATTGAAATAAAATAAAGCACATCAGTTCCCTTCCTATAGTGATGTCAGGCTCCAAGTCATTTTTATTACCAACTGCTTGACATTTAATCCTCCACATACTCGTTTACGAAAAATTAAGATTTAAGTGCCCAAATAACTATGAATTGAGTTGCAGCAGGTATTAACCACACACAGAAGTGAGA